ACGAGAGCGATCCGGGGAGGCAGAGAAGCTCGAAAGCGATTCGCTAGGGGGACAGGCGTGAGAAAGAGCGAGCCAGGAACTTGGCAGAGGCAAAAAGGCAGGTGATGGGTCATCTTTGACGGCGCACCGGTTAGCCAACTCAATGTGCACCGGCCAGCGCGCCGGCCGCTGGGCCCAGAGAAGCAGCTCGTCTTCCATCTGGACCATGTCCATGACGATGTCCGAGGTGGACAAGAGCGAGCTGCGCTGATGGCGCAGCGGCCGCACCCCCCAGGTGCCCTGACTGGTGTGGGTGGAGCCCGCGCGCGAGTGTTGCAGATTCCCGCCGATGCCGGCGCCGCTGCTGGGCCCGCGAATGCCGGGCCCGGGGTCGTGCTCGGACGTGGTGGAGTACCGCGAGACGCCGGAGGCCCCGGTCACCACCGATATATTGGTCACGCCGGAGAGGCCGGAAATGTTCGACCGACCAGAGGCGCTGAGCCGATCGAAGAGAACCCCGGTGCCGGGGTGGTCCTTGGGAAGGGGATCGCCCGGGCCAGCGAGCGGGGTAGTGGCGGTCGGAACCGGGCCTGGGCCCGGGGCCGGAGTCGGCCAAAGGAAAGGCCCGGGACTGGGAACCACTCCGGGAGTTGGACCGGTGAAGCCGGACAACGTCGGCGGCGAGGAGGAATAAAAATGCTCCCCCTGGGCCGGGGCTCCCCCGGGGCCAGCGTTGTTGGAGCCGGCTCCAGGGCCCGGCCAGCCACGCAGGCTCACTTCCACTCTCGGGCCCTGTGGCGAGGAGGAATATGGGGGGATGGACAAAAGCGGCGGCGATCCGGATCCCGGCGGCCCGACAAGCCCCGGCGTGTGGGTATTCGGCGAGGAGGACAGCATCCCCACCTTGGGATTGCCGGGGACCCCTGGGGCCGGGCCTGTGCCGGTTGGAATCCCCATCAAGGAGGGCGATCCCGAGGGCGAAAGATGGCCAAAGCCCCCGGGGGGGCCGGGGAGAATGTTCGGCTGGCGCGGTGCTCCGGACGAGGTGGCGGCTGCGGCTGCAGCCGCCAACGTAAAGAAGTCCGCCTCCGGGCGATCCGGCCCGGTGACAGTGGCTTGCAATTGGGCGAGATCGGTGAGGGAGTTCGTGGACATGGAGCGCAGGGTTCCGGGGTCCACCAGGGGCCCAAGCCCCGGGCGTTGAATGGGCCCGGCCCCGCCGCCGCCAATGCCGCTGAGCCCGAGCCCCAGGCCAAGACCCAGCTCGAAGGCCGGATTCACCACCGCACCCGAGGCAGGAGGCGGGTCGGGAAGAGGCTGCCCGGAGGAGTTACCCGGCCCGACATGGCCGCTTGAACCGCCGGAGGAGGTGATGCTCCCCATTTGCGGGGAGGTGGGGGTTGAGAGAGATGAATACCCGGCATAGGCATAGGTCGATTGGGCGGAGCCGAGGCCGAGGAAGCTCGGCTTGACGCCAGGATCAGCCGAGGAGCCGACAGTGCTGGGAGCCGTCGGGGCCACTCCGCCGGGGGCTGCGGGCGAGTGAATCGACAGCCATGGCCGGGAGGAGGGGACCTGTCCGGCGGCCGGGGTCTCAGATGGGCGCTGTGCTGGCGGCGGGCCACGAGCGTCCGCGACCGGAGGGCGTGCATGTCGCCGAGCCCCGCGCCCGCCACCATGAGGTGGCTGACTCATGGGATCTAGGGGAGGGGGAGGGGGAGGAGGATGGAAGCCGAGCCGCGAGGGGCGGGAGGGAGGCCGGAGAGGGAGCCGGGGGGAAAAAAGGGGGGAAGCCGGCCGAGGGGCGGCGGAGAAGGAGGAGGCACAAACCAAGGCCCGGGGGGGCAGGTAATTTGGCGACGATCGAGCACAAGATGGGGAGGGGGAGGGAGAAGCAGATGCCCTCCCTCCTCGGTGTCTGGCCGAGGCCGTGTGCAAGTGGCCTCTTCATCAGGCTGGGGGCGGGGAAATCGCCCAACAGACTAGCGCCCGAATCGTTGGCACTTGGCTTTGGTATCTGCTCCCCCGCCGCCGGCCCCCAACCTGCGGCCGTCCAGAATCTCGGGCAGGGAGATTCGGGGAGCCCTTTCTTGGCCTCATTCCCGTGCCACCGATGTGCCCTCTTGGCGGCAGTTCGGCCGCCTTTTTTTTCCCACCGCCCAACAGTCGAAGGGTGTACGGACAGAGGGGATGCATTGGGTGATTTGTATTTCTCGGCAAAAAAAAAACGAGATCTAGGGGGTGGCTGGGTGGCAGGGAGAGAGAGAGAGAGAGGATCACAACAAAAGGGAGAAAGAGGCAAGGAGAGAAGCAACCCCCCGGCCGGAGGGAATCGGGCAGTGGCGCGGGGCACCAGCAGATCAGCCCAGCTGAGTCTCGGCGAGCCTAATCCTGGCACACGTAATTCGGCGCCTCGTAGAGGACCTCCTCGTCGAGCATGTGCTCGGAGAACTTCTCCTCCTGGGCGGCATCGCGCGGGGTGACGAAGAACCGCGAGACAACGCGCTGGACCCGGCCATCGGCGATCTCATAGATGTTGTACCGTGCGCGCATGGGGCCGTAGTTGCTGTTGAAGGTGCAGCTCCCCGGCTCACCGACCCAAGACTGCGGCGAGCCGTCCGAGTAGGTCGGCGTGTCGGGCAGCGGCTCGAAGTAGGTCCGGTGCATGTGGCCATTCAGGGTGAGGTCCACCCGGTGGAGACGGAGAATGCGGCAGAGCTCCTCCCTGCGTGTGGGGGAGGGAGAAAGGGGAGGGAAGGAGAGGCCGGTCAGTGGGGGGAAAAAAAAAAAAACCCGGCTTCGGCCAATGAAAGAGACCGGGCGCGGGCAGGCGACCGATGAAAGGAGCACGCACTGGTCAAGAAGGCCATCCCTCTGCTCACGGTTGGGGTTGTTGTAGCGCGGGACCGGCGGATGGTGAACCATGACGACCTTGAACATGTCGGCATACTCCGGGCGCTTGAGAATGGCATCAAGGCTGAGAGGAGGGACATGCGAGGCCACAACATAGGTGGATGTGGATGTGGGCAAATACATGTGCCTGCGTAAGTAGGGAGCACAGTTGCCATGCATCAAGGAAAAGGGAAAGCCAGGCAAGTGCAAAGCCCGGGAAGGCGCCAAGAGACGCACCGGTCAAGCTGCCCCTTGCCAAGCAGGCCACCGGCATAATGAGGGCGCTGGGGAACGGCCGACGAGAGGCCCACAATCAGCACGCCGTGCTCGGGCAGCGGCCGCTCATAGGGGAACCCCTGGTGCTCGAGAGCCCCGCCAGAGAGAATGGCCCCGGACAGGGTACCAGCAGTCGGGTCCTTCTGGTCGCCCTTCGGCAGGAGCCCTTGGCGTTCGGCCTCCTCATGAGGGACAGCCCCGGACACGGCCGGCGCGACGCTGGTCGTCAACGAAGCGCCAAGGTCGCGCGAAGCAACCGTCGAAGCATCCTCATGCTTGAGCATCGGGGTCGGGCTACGAGGGGGGATGCTAAAGGAGGACATGTACTGGCCGAAGAACTGATCCCGGAGAAGCAGCACAAAAAAAAGACCCGGAAGAGAGGGCAGGGAAGGTGAGAAAGGCGAAGTGGCAGCCAGGTCCGCGGGGGCCGCAGAGGAGCGCATGCGTCGGGCGGGGGCGCGCTCGGCAACCTGCCGAACCATGGCAAGCACGCACCCGGTGGAAGAAGCGATCAACCAGGCTGTCGGGCACATAGATGTCGTGATTGCCTGGGATCAGGGAGAGGCGGTCGCCGCTGGACAGGCCGGCCCGCTCCAGCAGGTCAGCGGCCGTGGCGAATTCGCTGCGAGTGGCCAAGTTGGTAATGTCACCGGAGATGACAATGTGGTCCACCCCGTTGATGGGGGGAAGCTCGCCTGAGGCCGAAGTCGGGATGGTTGACAGGTATGCCGTCTGCAGGGGCGACGGCCGGAGAGCCTGACAATCGGCCAGCCCGTGCGTCAGCAGACGCCGGTTGAAGGTGTGCGGGCCGCGCTTGAAGACCAGGTTCAACAGGCCGAGGAAGCGCTTGTGCGACGTGAGGGCAGGGCGGATGCATGTGCGCAGGAGACCCCACCGGCTGGTGGTGTGCAGAACATGCGGGTCGGAGAAGTGCGCCAGGCGGAAGGGCCGGCGCACGGACTGCGAGAGAACCGACGCGGGGGGAGACATGTCGGTGTGAGGAGGAGGGGGGGGGGGGAATCAAGAGAAATGTGAGGATGTGCGTGGGAGCTGCCTCAAGCCGATGGGAGAGTCCGTCAAGTTGGGGCCTTAAATACGAGGGCAGCCGACTTGGCCGGATCCCGCGCCCCCCTCGACTTCCCTCTGCCCAGCGGGGGGGGCGGACCTGACGGCCGCGGTGCGGGCGACGCGCCGGCCCCTCAAGGGCCCGCATGCGGGAGTCCAGGCCCGAGGGAGCAGACGCCCCCGCGTGGGGATGGCCGCCCCCCCCTCCACCGGGGATGGCGGCCTGCTGTACTACCCTGCGGCGCTTGCCTGGGGTGCGGGATGGATGACGCGTGCGGGCCTCGCCCGCGCTCCCCTCGATGACTGGGGGGGGGGGGGGGGGGGCGGACTGGCGCGCCCGGCCCCGAGAGGATGGGCCGGGGCCCAGAGGGGCTCAGCTCGGCTGGTCTAACTGCCGACCCATGCTCCCGACGTGCCCGGGCGAGAGGGCCGTATTTTTTCCCACCTTGCTGGACATCGCGGGGACATCCCAAACTGCTGCCCTCGATGGCTTCCCGCTCCTCCCCGCGGAGAGAGGGAGGAGAGACAGGAAAATTGAGGACGCTGCGGGAGATTCGGACTGGAGGCAACCCGAGGAGCCCGCCTGCACGAGGGCGCCCGAGCGAGCGAAAAAGGCCGACATACCGGCATGGAAAACACACGTATCAAGTTGGGTTCCCCGAGGCGCACTCCGAGGTGCCGATGCCGATGCCGGAGAAGCTTCTTCCCGCACCAGGGGGTCGATCGATCAACAAACACCCGGCGGGATGCCGGGGCCCAGAGCTTCGCGAACACCGAGTCCCGCTTCTCCCCCCCCCCCGAGCCCCCAAAAAAACCAGTGCCTCTGGCACCGACGTGACACTCCCCCTAAGAAGCCGACCGCCGTGGCGGCCTCGACCGACCCCCCCACCGCGAAGGGGAGTCCCAGGCTTCGGGCGTGAAAATGGCCGTGTAGGTGGGCATATGACTGCCAACGGAAGAGCCCACAGCGTGAAAAGCCCCAAAGAACTCTCGACACACACGCACGAGAAGGAAAAAGGCCAGGGCAACTCCACCCACCAAAGACAGCAAGGCACAGGTAATGAATTTAGTCTACAACAAGGACACGCATATAGGCGAGAGGAGGAAAGAGAGAGAGAGGGAGAGGGAGAGGGAGAGGGAGAGGGAGAGGGAGAGAGAGAGGGAGAGAGAGAGAGAGGGAGATAGAGAGAGGGAGAGAGAGAAAGGGGGGAAGAGAACAAAGAGAAGGAGGACGGGGGCCTCTTCTTAGCGCTCTCAGATGGCGATGGCCTCGGCCTCGGGGGTGGCCCCGGCGGCGGCGGCGGCGGCGGCGGCACCGGTCGCAGCAGAGGATGTCGCGGAGCCGCGGCGCGAGGAGGACGCCCGCACGGAGGTCCCATCACGCTCGGCCATGCAATACCGATCAGCCACGCGCATGACCCGGTACTCACCCTCGGACTCGGCCACAAAGACATGCGAGTGGCCCTGGATGCCGGCGAGGTCGTAGAACTCGTAGCCATCCGTCTCGAAGGAAGACCGCCGGATGGACACATTGAAGGGCGGCGTGCCGGAGAGGGCCAGATCAATGGGCTCCTGCTGGCCGGCCACCACGAAGACCTCGCTCTCGCGACCGCGGTTGAGCACCGCCCGCGGAAGCGGGTGGAAGGTCACCTCCCGCAGGGGGTGCCCGGCATCCAGAGCCCGGGTGCAGAAGCGGTTCCCCACGGCCAGGAAGCTCACTCGGCCCGAGTGAAGGACCTGCAGCGACAGGCGCGACTGCCGGGTATGGCGGGTCCGCTCGTCCCCATCGAAGGCATAGGCCACATGCCAGGGGCCAGCGGCGGCGGTTTGCGCGGCAATCGCCTGCCGCTCCTCGGCCGAGGCGCTGCCAACGCGCCGCTGCCCGGCGCTCAGCAGGGCAAAGTCCACACGCAGGCGGTCGCCAACACAGCGATCCACCGAGTCCGGCTCCCCGCGTACCACGAGGTCCGGCTCCGGACCGATGTACACATGCACACCCGGGGCCGGGGACAGTTCCGTCTGGCAGCCAGTGGCATCCTCCACCCGGATGAGGGAGAATCGATAAGCACCGACAGCCTGCAGCTGGGGCGGGCAGTCAGGGTCACGACGACCACGCTGGGCCGCATTTGAAGCGGTCGCCGGCAAGCCGGCAGCGGAACCGGAGCCAGAGCCAGACCCCGGCGCGAAGGGCATGGGCCCCGCATCCAGCAGAGCCTGCGCAATGTCGAGCGAGGCCGTCACCGTCCCGCGACTGGCGGAGCCGGCGCTGATGCGCGTCCCCCGGCCGGCACCCGCACCGGACCCGCCGAACTCCATGGACAGCTCCCGCCGGGGGAGGGGCCTCGATGACTCGGAAGACATGAGGGCCGACTCGTCCAGCTGATCGGCTCCATCCGGCAGCCGAGTCACCGCGTAATGCAGCTTGAATGGGGCCACACCATGCAGGACAATCGGCAGGGCCAGGTCGTCCCCGACGCAAGCGAACAGATCCGACACCAGGGTCGAGGCGAAGGTGACGCTCGGAGGGTCGTAGGCCTGAAGCATGATGGCCTTGGTGGAGAGGGGAATATTGCCATAGTGGGTGTCGGAAAGATCGGCAAACTGAAGGGGCAAGAGACGCAGGGGGGGG